AAGGTTGCTTGTAAATGTTTCCACCTAATAATGAAGAAAAACTCCGTAATCCTTTAGAAGATGCAGAAAAAAATGCGTCCAGGTTTTTAATTTGTCAAAAAAACGGATGACGGTCAAAGGTCAAAGGTCAGGAGAGCTCCGTTAGGACCAGACTGAGCAGTTTGTTTGTTTGTTTTTGGGGCTGGTGGAGGAAAAAGGAACATGGCAGCTTCTTCCCAACAAAGAGCAAAGAGGCCAAATGTATGCTAGCTAAATGTATGCTAGCTAAATGTATGCTAGCTTAGTCCAGATGCACAAAAACCTTCAGTCATTTCTGAATAAAGGAACATTGAGTTCCTTTATACATTGAGTTCTGCTCCGATTCTGTTGATTCAAACAAGCAGATAATAAGGAAATTAAAGTTTTCTACAAATTTGGACACTTCTTATTGTTATCACTGCGTTTTATGGCGGTTTTGGGCCTCCAAACGTTTTATTTTCTAACATCAGAGTTTCTCCCCTTGGAATTTCTGACAACCAAAGTGGAGCTGAGTGTAAAAATTAAGACGTACACACACAGGGCCGCTTAGTTTCTGGACTTTCTGACATCTTTTGTTGGTAAAAAGGTTTTTTTTCTGTGGAAATGCTACAATATTAAGGCGGATTTGTTCACATACTGTCTTTTCTGGGAAGTCCTGACGGAGGTCCGGGTCCTGTTGGGCCTTCGAGCCGCCGGCCTGAAAAAAGAGTAAAAACTTTAATCTTTCTATGAGACGTTTCTCAGCCCACTTATGGTCCATTTCTCTGCCTCGAAAACACAAAAAATAAGCCTGTTATGTTGATTTAGACAGAGAAAACCACCATCAGTGGCTATTTAACTGCAGTTATTTGGTCATTTCTTCGGTAAAAAGATCAAACAGACCTTCTTCATATATTTTTATCCTTTAAAATCATGCAAAATCAGCAAGGGGTCAAATACTTTTTTCCCCCACTGTTTATATATATATATATATATAATTTTTTATTTGTTTTTTTGTGGAATTTTGTATGTATATATATGAATGTATATATATATATATATATTATTTTTATTTTTTATTTTTTTGTGGAATTCTGTATGAATATATATGTATATATTCATAGACATGTATATTTGCATATGCTGTCGTATTTCTGGAGTTAGTAAAAAAAAAATGTTTTATACTTTTATTAAAGTATTTCTGATTCTGGATCAGGCTGAATCGAAAGGAGGCGTTTTCGGTTTGTTAGCGAACGGCCGTCCACCTTCACACGCACACACGTGCACGTGCGTGTGCACGTACGTGTGCACGTGTGGGATTACGGGTACATGGGAGCATGCGGGCTAAAAGCCGTGCCAGACAAAAGGCGGCTAATCGCCCCGCTGGGCGGCTGCTCTCCGGCCTCCAGTC